AGGCTTTAAGGCAGCCTTAACGCCGCTAGATAGCTAGAATTAAGATTTAGAGGCTTCAGACAGCTGCGGGACCGATTGAAAATTGCTTTTATGCAGCTTTAAGTCTGCTTTAATACTGCACCAACTACTTGATGCCAAAAGCAAAAATTGACAGTTGCACAAATTTTCACAAATCTTCGTCAATTTTCATTGTAACATTCTTTGTCTAAATGTTTATGTATGTATGTGCGTGTGTGTGTGTGTGTGTGTGTGTGTGCGTCTATATCTGTGTGTCGCTCTTTTTTCGATTTCTTGCAATTCTTGTAGATTTTCGTCGCTTTGTCAAATTTGCGTTGCTGATTGGTATTTAGCGATAAGCGGAATGGAGCCGCGAGTCGATAAGGCGAACGAGAAAGTGGGCTGAGTGGGCGGAGGTGAGTGAACGCTTAGAGAATCGAATGGAGGGGGTCGCTTTTATGAACTATGCAAAACACTTGCCAGCTGCGCCCCTGCAGCAAAGTTGTTCACTTCTATTTACATTGTATGCATATTTAAACTCATTTCATTTACGTTTCAATTTGTTAGGCCAACAGTAAAAGTAGCGCTGCACGCTGCAGGCTAGAACTGTAAACTCACGCACACACACACGTACACACACACGTACACACACACACACACGCACGTACACAAAGAGAGCAGAGCAGTAGAAGTCGAAGCTCGCTGATCAAATCTGAAATTCTACTGCATTTGAAATATTTAAAGTTATTAAATTAAAAATTGTTGCACAGCTAACTGCATGAAATTTTAAATGCACAATAACTCAACGCCAGAAAAAAACAGACAGTCCCAAAACAGAGTTCATTAACCCAACAGAGAAGCTGCCAAAAAACGAGACAAAACAGCAGAACAGTAGAAGAAAGGTGAGAATATACGTGGGTGGGGCTTAAATGAATCAAATGTATGAGCAAATGCAAAGACAGAGAGAAACAGAAACAAAAAGAAACTCTGTCTCGCTCCCTTTTATTATAAATACTTATTAATATAAGGTCAGGTTCTTCTCTCCGTCTATTATTGATTTCTCTTTCGTCTCTTTTAGTGCAGATTTTTGATTTACCAACTGATTAATATAATTAGTAAAAATAACATTGAAATACAAAATAAAAAAATGCCTTAAATGATCCTTAAACTATTTCATATATGGCGGACGGACAAGTGGATGGACGCCAGATCGAATTGGCTTTTTGCTCCATCGTTCACAATTCTGGACTTCTTACATGGTTGTTGATATATGTAAATGATAAATAAAAATGGATGTTTGCAAACTTTTCTATTTTGGTTTAAAAAAATCACAATTTGTCGAGCGACTACAAAAATTTTGCCGAAATTTAGTTTGTAAGGAAAATGTTCGCATATTTTCTTTCCACTAGAAAAAAAGGTGTTTGCTCGCTTCAGGGAAATAGAGGTTTTTTTTCACACAATATAGTGTCCGTATCCGGTCAAAAAAAAGAGTCCGCCCAACGAAGTTAGGCTTTGCTTTATATTCTGCTGAATGCGACTGGCTTTGTGTGTGTGAGCATGTGTGTGGGTGTGTGGGTGTGTGTAAGCGCTCATGTATTGGGTAAGCCATTCGTATAGTCGGCTCGGACGTTTTGCAAATTTATTACATCGCACCGACAAGTTTCGCGTGTTTCGCGTGTTTCGCTTCATGCGCCCACACTTCACTTAACAGCAACAACTGTACAACGTTGCAGGCGGACCAGGAGGCAGCTGGCTGGAGGCATGGAGGAGGAGGCAGCACCACCAACGCAACCACCACTCAATCAGTCAAAGCGCCCACCCACTGCGCATAAAGGACCATGCTCAGCTCAGTGTTCAATCCGCTTTTTGGCCATTCGCCAAGTGCAGCTTTTTGCACCTAAGAAAATGTGCAATATACTGCGGGCCACAATTTTTAATAAGTGCACCCCCAAAAAGTTGGCATCGACGTTGGCGTCGGCGTTGACAAGGCAAAATGCCAAATGCCGCGACTTAAAACGAAAACATCAGCATTGGTGGTCATTCCCCTGCTCTGCCCCGGCCTCACATCCCCAGCTCACAGAGAGAGAGAGAGGGAGAGAGAGAGAGAGAGAGAGAGAGAGAGAGAGAGAGAGAGAGAGGGGGGGGGGGTAGGCTATTCTACCCACGTTTTCTGCCTTTCCTTTTGATTTCACTCGCAGTTTTGCCTATGCTTTGGGTGCATTGACCGGCCGCAAAATGCACCAGCACCCGCCGTCGAAACACAAAGCACAGAACCGACAGACCCCACAGATCCACCCACCCGACCGGGAGGCAGCCCATCGAACCGTCTACATGGCCCAGCGTTGCGTAATATACAGAAATCACAGGAGACTAAAAGTCGAAAATACGAACATGCGAAAATGCGAAGAGGCAAAAGTGAGCGAGGCTCTTAAAGTCGACGCCAGATAAAATATAATTTAACGAAACTTCAGCTCAACTTGCAACTATCTACTGAAGTGGCCAGTGTAATAAATAAATCAGCATCGGGTAAAGTACTACAGATCATCTATAAATGATAGGCTAAGATTAAGCTAACAACACCGAGAAAGTAGTCTGTGCAGGCTGAGCAGGTCTGTCTGCCAAGCTACTACTAAACAGTAAAGCGAGCAAAATCCAAGAAAGTTTTCTGTATCTTTAATGAAGTAAGTTACCTTCGCCCTTTATTACGGATTTTGCTCATAAAGCCTTAAACTTTTTGGTTTTTTATTTTACTTGTGTCGAATAAAAAAGTTTCCCAGCTGTTTGATCGATCAACCAATTATTGATAATAATAATTATCAAATAAGAATAATCACAAAAATTGATTGAATCGGCAACTTTTCTAATTAACTTTTTGATTTTCTCCACAATAATTTTAATTTATTTTATTTCATCAAGGAAAAACTTTAAAGATAAACCTGGGCAAACCTCAAACACTTGCTGCTTAAATAACTTCAGGTGCAATCAGTTTTTTTTTTTTAAATTTTAGTCGACTGCGAGGCAAATCTAAAACACATAAAACATTCGTATTGAACATCATTGAAAAATTCATTTATTCGCGGTTTCCGTTGATTAAGTCAAAGTAAATACACGCTCTGCGGTCCTTGCTCCAGCCAACATCTCCATGCCCATTCCATTCCGCTTGGCCAAACGCCTTCGCCTTCGCCTCCGCGTCCGCCTCCGCTACTACCTCCTCCTACGCCTACGCCTCGGCAAGTCGGAACCGTTTTCAAATGCTTTTCATGTGCGTTGAGACGCAAAAGTCAAAGCTCTGGGTTCAATGAATGCCGAGGGCTGCCGTGAACTTTAATGCGCTCTTGAAGCTCGCCAAGCCACAGTTAACTTAAGGAACTTGAGGCGCGGGGCCAAAGGAGTGCAAGAGCTAGCTTAGTGAGTGAGTGATAAATCTTTATCACTTATTCAGCAAACAGCGCCAGCTAAATTGATTAATTGCGCAAATAAACGCGCGACGATAGTCGAGACGCGCCTCCACTTGTCTCCAATTCGTCTCCACAGAGCACTCAGCCCTCCGCTCACTCGCCGCGGGCCCTTGAGGCCAACCACTTGGCCACAAATCAAAGTAGCCCCGCGGAGTATATGCGGACAACGTTCGTCACGTCGCGTCCAACGGAAATAATTTATCAAAGTGGTCTTATATTAAATAATGACTAGATGACACCAATAATAACGATTCCGAGCCCAAAAGCCCAGCAATATAATTAGCAGGCAAATTAAAAAACGCCAGAAATAGATTATTGATGGGTCTGACCAACTGCTGGCGGATGGGGTGGAGAACTTTTCAAATTAAATAAACATGGCCGGATCGACAAAATTATGGAATTACATTTCATCTTCTTGCACAGCCTCTTTGTGGCCGGCAAATATTTACATTTGGGGCCAGTAAATGGCCTTAGCCAATTAAAAGCGTGCCACCCAAAAGTAAAGAAGAAGCTAAATAAAAACCATTTAACTAGCCGGGCTTCTACCAGAATTATGTGCACAAGTGGCAAAACGCTTTTTGTTAATTAACCCAGTTAAAAGTGCGGCAACAGATTTCCTTCAAAAGTTATGAACGCTAACTGGCCAACTTTTAGGTCTTCTAACATAATTAACTAAAGTGTTGCAAGCGTTTAAGAAACTCGAAATAACGCAAAATCTCATGCATCAAAATCGCCCAACTCGGGTTGTCTGATAGCCCAGCATGTTGAGCGAGCGTGCTCGACTAACAGATTCCCTGTACCCAATCGAATCTGCTATCGAAATGTATCGCAAGGCGAAGATTTAATATCCTTTTTTATATCCGACCGATTTTTTTTAATAGGAATCATATGACAAAGACCGATGTCGTACAGCTTGGCTGATATTTTAGGCAAGAGCGTAAAGTAAAGATAAAGAAGGTAAAGTTTACACAAAAGCTTTCCATACAGAAACGTTTCTTTTGAGCATTTCTTCTACGGTTCCATATTTCGTCACAAAATTCCAATCTATGAGATTAAAAAATTCTTCTTCACTTGCTTAAATGTTTTCTTTTTTTATCAATTATTTAATTTGCGCTATGTGCTCTTATGATAATGAAAGTTTGCGACTTCTGCTTTCAAAAATACTGACACCTGATTTATGTTAGAGTTAAATTAAAATTTGGGTTACTTTTATAATACAGAACGGACATTGGGACATCATTCACTCAACTCGTTATGAAGAAATGAAGACTTGCCCTCTTCTAATGGTCAAAATTGAACACTTAAATTAAACCTTTTTTTACTTTTTACCAATATCGAATGGGTATATGGAATAAGAAGCCGGCTCGTGTCTTCAGCGTTTTCTTTGAGCATATTTTTGCTATAATCTTTAAGTGCATACAGATTACTGAAACCGATTTTTATAAGCAATTGGTTCACACACACACACACACACACACACACACACACACACACACACACACACACGCTCGCACACACTTCCTACATCATGCTTGTTGGCAGTCAGTGAAACGTCAAAGTCAATATACAGAAATTTTTAGAGGCTTTGCCATTCAGTCTGTTTAGTAGGTGCTATAATACAATCAGCTGAATCAGACAGACGACGAAACGTGGCCACATTAAACAGGTGAGTGTTGACACACCCCCAGACACCCACACGCATACACATATACAAACACACGCACGCACGCACACAAAGGTACACACAAACGCGAGGCGGGCGCATTATGCACAACTTTTTAAAAGTCAGGCAGAAAAATGTTTTTTAAACGCTAAATTACTTTTGAATGGCAGCTGGGCGGGCAGCCGCTTTCATGGGGGCGTGGCAGCAACGTCACAATTTCATTTTGTGCTTCCTCATCCACCTACCCCACGACTGTTCCACCCCAGCCCACAGAGCACAGCGTACATAGCCTCATAGTCAGTGCGTGGCTGCCGTCGCTTCTGTGTGTATGTTTGTATGTATGTGTCGCATTTTTAGCGTTACGTCTGAAGAGCGGAAATGCTTATCCCAACACTTGAGCATCACGTGCTGCCGACGCGACGTCGACTGCGCTGTGTGCTGCCAGCTAGAAACAAAAATGTAGTCAAGCCGAATTACGAACGCTCTCTTTCTCTCTCTTCTATTAAATAAGTTAAGTGTGTTGGTCACTGCTGCACAATTGGACTATTATCTTAAGGTTAGATTAGTTAGATAAAAGTTAAGCCTTCACAAAAAACCATGTTGATTAATTCTATATTTATTGCAAGACCTTGCCGTTTTATAGCACTGATTATTTTTGTGTTCCTAACTCGCCAGATATTGGTGATCTATTTAATTATCTATGCAAAATAAATCTAATTAATTAGTGCAATTCAAGCTTGTTCCATTTGCGACACCGTCAAGCGTTTGGTAAAAAGCTTGTACCCTGCCAACGTTGACTAACTGTGCCACGGAGTCTTCACGCGATGTCTTAGCCGCAAGCGTCTAAGGTCGCAGTAGTCGGTGCGGGTCTCGGTGGCACGAGTCTGAGGCTGCGGCTATGACTGGGTCTGAGTTGGGGGCAGCGTCGTGTAGGTGTGTTGAATGTTTAGCTCAAGTGGCTTTTTAAAACATATTCTATGCTAATTAAGGGTCTTCTGGCTTGGGGGCAGGTGGTGGAGGTGAAGGTGGCGAGGGGGCGGCTGGAGGCGTGAATAAATGAGTTGTCGTCGTGGACGTCGTTGTTTGCCTTTGATAAGCAGAGATTGCTGCCAGCCAATGTCATCAATGGGGTGGTGGCAATGCGACGTCGATTGGGGGGCTGTTTTTGTCGCCTCCTTCATTGCGTAATCCTTAAAGTTGAATTCCTGTTTACAAGCTGTCATCGAGAGTCAGCCAGGCCAATTTAATTAACGAATTAACAAAGCCAGAAGTTTTTGCGGGTTTTTAAGTGATTTCGGTTTCGGCAGCATCAGGCTCAGAATCTGTTGGTCTGTTGGCCTGCCGGGCTGTTAGGCTTTTGGGTTGTCGGGCTGTCGGGCTGTCGGACTGTCGGGACTGCGGCGACAAACGGCGCCCAATTATTTTGCGGCCTTGTTGTGCATAATTGAATTATTGCCATATGCAAAGCCAAAAATAAAGGATAAGGGCAAACCAAAACAGTTTGCAATACAGACCCAACAGAACCCAGCAGAACAGCCCCAAAACTCAACCCAAAACGACTGCGGACAGACGACGACGTCGACAAAGTTTTCTCTTGTGGCTTTTTATATTTTGGCGCCTTTTGCTTGTTAAATAAATCAAAGTCGGTAAAGCTTAAATACAAAAAAAAAAAAAAAAAAACACACACAATGAATGAAGAAGAAAAAAAGGAAAACTAAATCCAAGAAAAAGGCAAAGACAAAGGCGAAAAAGCCGAAAAGGAGGCAATAAATTGAATTAGAATTTTAATTGAGAATTTGTTTGCGCCGGCACTCACTTTGCATTGCTGAGGAGTGCCCATTAATATTAACGACTTTTAAAAATATTGTAGAGCAACACTGGCCGTATAAGTGTATTCGATCAATTTACAAATGCCCTAAAGGGATTTTAAAGTATGTTGAATTGATTTTTCTATTTAAATAATAATAATTGAATGTTATTATTTTGCAATACTGTCCTTTCGTTTTTCAACAATGTTCTCATCGATGTACTTGAATTTAAAATATATCAATATTCATTTAATATATTTTTTATTGCCTACTGCGCAGCGGTTCCCTGAATGTGGTTTCAACTGATTTTGCTATTCCTATTGGGCGTAGCTTTGTGCTGCGGCTCCGTAGGATGCATGAACAATCGCTACCTGAGCCTACTGGAACGTCTCTTTGCCTACAGCTCGAGCCAATTGCGAAAGGAGCGCCGCATAAAACCCTGCGACGAGCAGCTAAGACAACGCCATCGTCGACTACGCCAGCTGCTGAGCAAGAAGCAGCAGGAACACCAGCAGCAGCAGCAGCAGCTACACAAGCTGTCAGCGGGTCAGACCGAGGTGGTTGTCAAGGATGCGCTAAACGCACGCATGGAGCAGTGCTGCAACCTGATCGCGGAGGGATTGCGTCTGGTGCTCGAGGACGATGTGACGCCACGATTTGCGGCCGCTGCGCCGCCGGCCGGCGAATGGAATCTGCTGACGCGCAATCTGCGCCACCAAAAGCGGCATCTCAACTGGCGTCTATTCCTTATCTGGCTGCTGGCGCTGCTGCTGCGCTACAGTCTGCTGGTGCCGTTGCGCACCTTGGGCTGCTCCGGCTGCCTGCTGCTGGTTACGCTGGTGACGGGTGTGCTAGGCCAGCTGCCCGATTGGAGATTTAAACGGCGTCTGGTGCAGATAGTGCTGCGGTCGTGCTTCCGCCTTGCCACCTGTTTCATTCCGGTGGTGCGACGCATACACAACCTGGAGCATCGGCCCCGCATGGGCATCTGTGTGTGCAACCACACAAGCCCCCTGGACGTGCTGCTGCTGATGTGTGACGTGCACTATTCCCTCACTGGGCAGCGGCATGATGGCATTCTGGGCGTGATACAGCGCGCCCTGCAGAGGGCATCGCCGCATTTGTGGTTCGAGCGTCAGGCGCACGGGGAGCGCGAGGCACTGGGCCTGGTGTTGCGCCTGCATGCAGCTGGACGTGGCAAGCCGCCCATACTGCTCTTTCCGGAAGGCACCTGCATCAATAACACGGCCGTGATGCAGTTCAAAAAGGGCAGCTTTGCCATCTGCAATGTCGTCTACCCCGTGGCAGTGCGCTATGATCGACGCTATGGCGACGCCTTCTGGGATAGCACTCGGTGCTCGATGCTGCGCTACATTCTAATGGTGATCTCCTCCTGGTCCATCATCTGTGATGTGTGGTATATGCCGGCACTGAAGCGACGATCCACTGAAACGGCCATTGAATTCTCGAATCGTGTCAAGGCAGCGATTGCAGCACAAGCTGGCCTCGAGGATCTGCCCTGGGATGGTAATCTCAAGCGCTGGAATCCCGTGCGTGATTGGCAGTAAAAAGTGTTGGCAATTGTCGTTAAGTTGTTAGCAATAAAGATAAGAAAATATCAAACAAAACTGCTTCCAAGTTCCAAGAAAATAAGTCTGCGAAACGTGAGCAAGGGTCAGTTTAATCCTGGGGTAAGCCTATAAACTATCAGCACTAGCAAGTATGGCCTTAGCCAACACTGCATTCGAGATTGGAATTTATGAATAAATAAAATAATTGTTCATTCTTATCGGTGAAAAATGATGTAGAGATTCACAATGAAATCATCGTATATATATATGAAATCTTCACAAATGGTAAAGTAATTTGGTTAGATTATTATCCAAAATCGCCCGTTGAAAGAGTTCTATGATATTGATAGGAATTTGCCAAATTCAATGATAGATAGATCTTTGGATGGGCTTGCGGGGGTCTATTATTATTGACATACCGTTTCGGCTGGACAATCTTTCTTTCGCTGTTGCGTATTGAGGCGTTTGGACCGTAACGTCCGAGCAGCGCGCTCTGGGATTGAGAGATGCCACTGGCGCTGGCTGCGGTGATCGCTGCGATGCCGCTGCGTAGGGAGGTGCCTAATTCACGATGATGAATGCCGCCAATGGCTGACTGCGATTGCACTGCATAATCGAGGCCGGGCAGCTCCAGCGAAGCAATCGGATGGATGCGGGTCAGCGAGAGCGTGCTCTCCAGCACCGTACTGAGCAGCGGTGCGCTGCGCAGGGATCTCAGACTGCCGCGCCGTGTTAGTGTATCGGGCTTATACATTTAGCCAGTCTGCTTCACTCCCACCATGGGGTGTGAGCGCTGGGGTGCTAAATCGCCTGCCCACCAGCTCGACAGCCTTTTTCACACTCACGCCTGTCGCTTAATTGGTCAAGTGCCTCGCAAATACACACGCAGTTAACCCAGCCCGGCTTGATCCCCAGCTCCCTGTCGTCTGTTCCCAAATGGCTGCTTGGCTCGTATAATTGTTATAAACGGTTTGGGTTTGTTATCGGCACTCTTTGGCGGCACGGCGTCGTTTTATAAGCAATTACGTGTGCCAAGTGTGTAAAACTTGCCGGTCACGCGAGCGTCAGACCGGCAGACGGGCAAACCAACTGACAGACAAACCGACCAGGTCTCCCTTCCTTCACCTGCAGCTCCACCATCCACCAGTTAGTAATTCGTGGCTGGTGACTCGTGACCGCCTGCGTTTTGTTTGCGCAAATGTTTGTACAAATTGCTTGTCGCCTGACAAACGTTCTCGGCGACCCCGCCGCGGCGTCTCGTGCACCGTTGTCGTCCTGTTTTGCATATGATTTGCATGAGATTTGCTTTGTCAGATTGCGACTGAGCAACTGGACAGAGCGGGGGGTGGCTAGGCGGAGCTACGCTAGTTACAATTGTACAAAATGCAGTCTAAGTGGGTGTCGTGGGGGCGGTGTAGAGTGCTGCGAGTGACTGCTGTCGACCTGCAATCAATACACTGCAATGAATGTTGCACTATGAGTGTTTCGAGTGCATTGTGAATGGCCCAGACGGTCCCATCGGGCGAACCCCTACCCAACTCTCCATTGCGCACAGCTCGTAAATCTAAGCGATTACATACATACTACTGCCAAACTGTGTGTGCGTATGCGTATGTGTGTGTGTGTATGTATATATGTACATACTTGTACATACACAACGAACTCGCGATTATGAATTTTTATAAGGGATATATTTTATAGGAGATTCAAAGACGTATGAATATATATTTATTTAAATAGAGAGAGAGAGAAAGGGAAAGAGAGAGGGAAAGAGAGAGAGAAAACGAAAGGGAAGATGTCAGAGACAGAAATATATATTACCCACATAATATAAAGAATATTGTCGTCAGGCAAAACTGAACCCTTAAAGATCGGAAATTACGTGGAAATGTTTTAAATTACTTAGCTATTTTTTATTTGTATAGTTATTTATATAATTATATAGAAAAATCGGTTTTCAACCCAAGCCCAAACCTTAACATTTATTTTCACAGATCTATGCAAGTATTCCCAGAACTTTAAACTCGACTTTAAACTCGATTTTGAACATATATTAAGAAGTATTTTAAGTGTGACTCCCTCTTTGCAGAAATTGCTGGTAAAATGCTTTCCCCACTGTATGGAAATAGGTAGAAAATTGATGACCACACAGTTTGAGGTAATACCCACTGGTATGTGTATATATAATAGGCCCTACAGCAATTTTCGCGCGATCAGCGTGTGTTTAAGTACAAATAAACCGATTATACAAGGGAACTTCGTAATGAATTCTAACTCGAAGTTAATTTTATGGCTTTAGAATATGAACATATTTTTCAGTTATGTTTAATGTGCAGTAAATGAAATAAAAATAACTGTCTAGGAACCCATGTAATCGATTGATGTAATTATCGATAGTTGAAGTCAAGTGTGTACACTAGCATATGTAAATCAAATGTGTTTCTGTATATTATACAAGAATTGTATCTTGAAGATACACGCATAAGTATGTATATTAGAGGACAGATAGATGAGCATATAGTTAGGTATATTTATGTAAATTTATATATATATATATATATGTATATATATTGATAGCTATGTTATTGGCATATTGTATGAGCATGCAATTTCGATTGTTCTAAACTCACTTGTGTCAAATCTAAACAAACGATGATGACGTTGTTGATTAACTATGATGGCAGTGAGGGCATTGGCTAGGTTGAGGCGGCTCTTGTTATAGAATTATTGTTGCTGCTGTTGCTGCTGCTGCTGCTGCTGTTGATGGAATAATTGGCTCTTCCACTGGGCCAACTGAACCGCAGCGTGCGCCGCTCTCTCCGCGCCGGACTTCTTAATCCAATCCAATATTGTTTTGTTGTTTTGCACGACACTCAGTTAAATTCAATTAGCACTGCACTTCATACATATGTATGTATATATATGAATAATGTATCTATAAGTTGATATTTACAGTTTTTTATGAATGCCAAATCGGTCGATACGTTGCTTGCAATGGAACAGAGACAACCGATTGTACAAACTAGCGACTGACCAGAGAATCGATCAGTTGACTGACTAACTGATTGAGTAGGTGACGTGTGCACTGATTGATACTGATATTGATTTACTGACTGGCTGACTTACTGACTGACTGACTGACTGACTGACTGACTGACTGACTGACTGACTGACTGACTGGTTGGCTGATTGACAGGTTGACTAGTTGAATGACTGATTGCACCTACTATGAGACTGGACGAATCAAATGGGTAGCCACTGGCTGTGCTGATGCTCGCAATCGCAATCGCAAAGGCTGCTGCAGATGCTGCAGATGTTGCTGCTGCCAGCTCTGTCTCTGGCTTTAGCGTCTTGCCACCGAGTCCAATCCATGTTTACCAGTGCTGCGTCCAGCTTACTCACGCACACGCACACCTACACACGGCGCGCGTGTGTGTTTGTGTGTAACTGCCTGCAGTTCTGTGCGTGCTCCAGTAACCGAAACCAAACAAAAAACAAAAAAAAATGCACTTGCAACGCGTTCAGTTTGTCGGCCGATCTCGACCTTCGATTATGGATTTAACGATTTCAACCTTGTTTCCGTTTCGAAAATTGCGTTTCACTGCAAATAGATAGAAAACGAATATTGTTCACAGATTAGAAAAAATTAAATACTATATAAATTGTAAATATTATATTAAAATTTTTAAGCTTATTCATTTCTGTTCAGCACGTATAGCAGAAACATATTTTTTAAGATAAATTCTTTATTTGTTGCTTATTTGACTGGCTGGGCACATAAAACATACGACAATATTCGTGTACATTTCTCCTGAGTTTGAGACGTGATTATTGATTTTGGGCTTTCGGTGTTTGTTTTCAGTTTCAGTTTCAGAGTACAGTTTACACTCATCCCAGACCCCAATTCAGACCCAACCCATTCCCTGGTCACTTTTGTGTGGGCTTTCGTGTGCTTGATTGATGGATTCGCTTGTTTACCCAACGGCCCACCAACCACCCCACCCCCCTCCTCTCACAAGGTGGGGTTGAAAAAAAAAAAAAAAAAAACAAAATAAACACCCAACAAGAGACGAACAGATTTCAAAATACTCGTAAGCAATAATCGTGATATATCATAATCCCCAAGCTTGCAGTGAGCTGCTGCTTTTGCTTGACATGGGCTCAATTTGTGATATGTCTTTGTTTTGACAATTCATGATAAGCTATCAAATAAGTTTTTACTTGAAGCTCACACGTAATTGTACATGCAAATGAGCAAATGAATCGAGCATCTGCAAACTGGGTTTTCTTTGCTTTTCCTCTGGATCTCTTGATTCTATTGATTTCTCTTGATTATAATTTATTTCATTCTTTCATAACCTGTTGATTGATCGTCTATTGCTTTAGTGCTGAGGGCCGTATCGTCGGGTCTTGATTCTTAATATTCTCGTTATATTTGCCTATTGGAACTATTCAAAAACTTTGGCTGTATAAAATATAGCTTCCGGCTATCATTAAAGCAATGTCATAACCTAATTGTTTTGTAATAGTCAAAAATAAATTAAAAATATTTATTTAATCAAACCATATTTTTAGACTGAGACAGATAAGATTTTAGTTATTTTCTACCCAAGACATTCCAATTGATTTACGGGAGTAAGGAGTGCGATTTCGGTTTCAAATCGGATTGGTTCAAAACTGGTTTGAATTAAAATAAAAATATATGCATGTCAACTATTAGAGTCTGCTTAAGTCCTAAAATAAAGTAACCCAAATATGTGGATAAAATGAAGAAACTTAGTTTTCATAGACCACTTGAACAACCCAACCGCCAGCAAAAGCTAGAGCATTGCATAACCATATCTGCATGTAAATAAATTAGAAACCTAGCATAATAAACAAAATCATGAACCGTTCAGCTCAGACGCAAACAAAAGCAATTAGAGAGCATTAACTCAATAAATATTTTAATAACAAATGAAATTTGTGCTTCAGATGCAGCTGAGCTTGTGTGTGTTTAACTCAAGAGTTTAAAGCGCATTTTATTTGGTTAGGTATACACTTTCCAACAGTAAGCTGGAGGGCTTATAAGGATGTGCTACGTGCCAACGCGCGCACACACACACACACACACACACACACAGTGAAAGGATACCAGCCAGAAAGAAAAAAATGAAGTGAAATTTACTTTGACATATTTTTGTGCTTAGCAAAGCAAATACTTTCATTATTTTTGCTGTTGGCATTAAATTTCGTGCATTGTTGTTGTGCCAGCCGCTGGCCATGTGCTACGTAATCACACACACACGCACACACACACGCACACACGCACGCACACACACACCCACCATGGCGAGCCACTTGCCTCTGAGCTGCATTTGAGTGGCTCAAAACATTTGTGGTCACGCCCACGATACAGTACACAGAGTGCGGAGTGGGCGGTGAGGCGTGAGGGGAGGTGTTGGGATATACCATGAAGATGGCCAACGTGAACAGAAGCGGTATTTTGTATACATTTTGGTAAGCGAGACTGGACAACAGACCGAAGGGAGGACGTAGGGCGGAAGACGCAGGTCGGGCACTATATAAGGACAGTGCAGGAGCGGTATTTTGTATTTCGATAAATGCCACTGGACCATCCAAGAACAGAGGATGCTCGTCCTGGATAGCAGGAGAGGGGAATTTGTAGTAAGCAAGGAGGAAGCGGGGGGTTTGGCTGCTGTGTCACGTTAGTTGTGGAATTTGTAATTTTTGCTCAAATCAATTTTATATGCCAGCGCTTGGGAGACT